AGACAGATTTATGATTTTATCGGGCGATGTCCTTTATAAACGAAAAGGGGGAGCATTCAATAAGTATGACAGTAAAAAGAAATGTATGTAATAGCTAACACAACCGAGAAAAATAATACAAAGAAAAAAATAAGCTGGAAAAGCATATAAACAATAAAGGGAACACAAATTAAGATGAAAATAACCACAGCAATGAAAGTACCGAACATAGATGACAGCAAGTACAATTACACAAACTCTCTTCCCTTGATTTCACCGCTTTACACAGACTGAAGAATGTTACTTTTGACATCTTATTACTTCGAAAAGGATTTGGAAAAATGTATCCACTAGCTCCTGCAATATTCGAAGAAATTGATATACGTAACTGTACATGCATGAATGTGGAAGAGAATTGTCTGAATTTCGTTTTTAGTTTTAACTATCTAATGGGAATGCCTTACAATGAGTTTTCGATCAAAATAAAATCAATGTCTCGAATTGCAATGCGATATAGCATCATACTCCCAGGATTAATTAATGACCGATAGAACATAGAAAAGGAAAATACTAGTAGAATATGATGGTGAGAACTCTCTACAGCTACTGACAAATGGTAATGAAAATTCTAGAAATTAATTCTGGAGTATCTCCTGTTGTTTATTATGCATTTTTTATGAATGTTCGGCTCAAAAAATGCTCACTATCTCCCTATGTTATTAGTACAAGACAAAAATCTTCAACAAAATAAAAATTCATGTGGTTACAGATAAGAGCATTCTAAAGAGTCTTACACAGAGAGTATCCATTATGTTTCGTTATACTGTAAATTATCAAAAGTATACAAGATACCATAGAATTGCTTAGGTAATATGAATGAAAAATTAATCCGAGCGATAACTACAAGATGCATATGCCCATAGCTGGAAGGGCGTTTCTATAAACTTCTACAGGATATAAAATGTGGAACACTATGAAGTGAAGTCAATGAGGGAGGAGCAATACTTCAGAAGTGCGTACTTCGATGATAGTTCCTCGTACTTCCATCGTACTTCCTCATACTTCCATAATACTTCCATATACTTCCACGATACTTCCTCGTATTTCCATTATACTTCTTCATATTTCCATGGTACTTCCTTGTACGTCCATTATAATTCTCTGTATTCCTTGAGACTTCACTATTTTTTTAAAATAATGATTTTTCTATAAAGTTTGACTAAAAGTGATTGTGAGGTCGAGGAATATGAGTCTGAAGTCAGCTTCTCGAAATTTTGGGTTTGATATTTCTTTTCAAGGGAAGGCTATTCTTTAAACATAATGACTTTTTTTACAAACTTTGACCGAATGTAATCGAGATCGAAGAATCCGAATCTGCCATTGGTTTTCACTAAATTTCAAATTTAGCTTTTTAACTACAAATATATTTTTAGTCAAATTAAGTCAGTTTCAAAGCAAAAGAACTTTTTGCAAAAATAGATTGTTTTCTGCTAAAAAAGCCTCAGTAGAATATACAAGCTGAGAATTGTGAGAGACCAATTATAGATTCAAATTCCTCGACTTCAACTACCTTTCGTCAAACTTTTACAATAAATTGCTACTTTTCAAAAATACTCTTTTCTAACGTAAAATAACAAACTAAAAAAGTTGAAAAACTGATTGCAGATTCAGATGCTTGATCCCGATTTCCTTCGGTCAATTTTTATGAAAAAAATTGTTATTTATGGAAAATAGCATCCCCTGGACGGAAAAAATTAACCTCGAAATTTTGAAAAATAGATTACCGATTTGGGTTCCTTCATCCTGAGGATATTTGGTGAAGTTTCAGAAAATATTGTCATTTTTAGAAAATAGCCTTTCCTTCAGAAGAAAAATCATACTCAAAATTTTGAAAAATCAGTTGCAGTTTCAGATTCCTCGTACCAGATTATCTTTGGTCAAACTTCTTAAAATATCATTAGTTTTAGGAAATTGTCTTTCGTTGGACGAATTCGGAAGCCTTCAGTTAAAAATCCAGAGAATTTCCCGTTTCCAGTCCGGCTTCTAGGTACAGAACTGACTCGCGTTCCCCGTTCCTAGGAACTGAACGTAAAAGTGGCAATCCAACACAAAATTATCTCCTGAAAACTGTTACTAAATGTATTATGTATAAGGATGGAAAAGCGAGACTTCTAGTGTGCATACAACAACTGTACTTCTCTTGTACTTCGGCATGTATGAAACCTAAACCGTTTGGGATTTTGAGGGTAGGTTTCGATTTGGACTACGTATATCAGCCGTAATTTCTCTAGTTCAAAAAGATTTTTTGAGAAAAAAAACAATTTTTTTGCAAGCTTTGTCAGAAGGTAATCGAGTTTGGTGCATCCGAATTTGAAATCACGCTCTCAAAACTTCTGAAGTAGATATTTTTGAGTAAACAAAAGGTTGTTTGAGAAAATAACGATTTCTTGTAAAGTTCGACCTCAGTGAGTAGAATGAGTTTACTTGATTAGGAAACCAAGTATAAAATATTTTAGAACTTGAGTGCAGATTCCGATTTCCTGATTCCGATTACCTTCGGTTAAGCCTTATAAAAAATCATTACTTTCTCAACAAAACTTATTTATTAGTCAAGAGACTCGAATTCAAAATTTTGATAAGCTGACTTCAGATTCGGATCCCTCGATCCCGATTATCTTCGGTTAAGCCTTATAAAAGAATCATTATTTTCTCAAAAAACTCTTTATTTAGTCAAAAGAACCAAGTTCGAAATTTTGATAAACTGACTTCAGATTTGAATTCCTGAACCCCAGTTACCTTCGATTAAGCCTTATAAAAAATCATTATTTTCCCAAAAAATATCATTTTTAGTAAAAGAATTAGGGATGACATAACTAACGCAAATCCAAACCTAAACGCAAACTCTCATACGATTTTCGGCATTTCACTTGTACTTTGGTTGTCATCTCCTTATACTTCTTGGTACTTCGATTGTACTTCGATGATACTTCTTCGTACTTCCATGATACTTCCTCTTACTTTCCCGATACTTCCTAATACTTCCTAATACTTCTTCGTACTTCCTTGACACTTCTTCGTACTTCCATGATACTTCCTTCTACTTCCATCGTACTTCAAAATACTTCGGAAGTAGATGAAGTATTGCTCCTTCCTCCTTGAGTGAAGTCAATATCTAATAATCTGCAGCTCCAAGTTTACGGAATTGTCAGAGTAAACCATCCTGTCTGATGCAGTCTATTGAGTAGGGGAAAAACAAAAACTGATGTAGAAGCGGTGATTATCCTCTTCAATAAAATTTGCTTTTTCTTTATAAATTTTCAGTAAGACATACTGTCTAATGGTACTTCACAAATTAGTTTTTGTATGCCTAATCGAAGGATTTTCCGAACCTTTGATATTCCATCGGGATCTTTTAAAAACTTTTCCCTTGGATTTCGTTGAGATATTCATTCACTGATAGATCCTAGTGAAATGATTACGAATATCCGAATGCTAATTATTCAAAGGATTTTAATAAAGAAGAAAAAATAACTTTTTCAGATGTTTTTATGGTTCTATATTAATTGTCAAACAACATGTCTCCATTGATGATTCTGATATCACATGAAAGAAAAGAAAGTTTCTCCTAGTAATGGCTAGTTGTAAGAATGTAAATTATTGCTTCAGAATCTAATTTTCTCTAGATCCCAAAAATCTATAGACTCCAAACTTCTTGCCAGAAGACTCGAAGTGATCCGAAATTCCGATTCACTTTGTGGTTTTCCAGCGGTGCTCTGGAGCACTTTCTCAGAAGTGTTAACGGCTTCGATGAAAACTAAGTTCATGTTTCTGTTCAGCACATCAAATAAGTTTACAGCCTTCTTTCTAACATACAAAACATTTCTCGATTGCCAGCTGGGAGATTCATTTCTATGATTCAGTGGATAACTAGTTGAATTTATCGAAACCAATGAAGAACTATAAAACAGCCATATCAAAACTTACAGCAAGTTTAAAAACGAAGAAACGGTTTATTTTATTTGCTGAACACGATGCTGAGCTTCCGATTGAAATTGGTAAGACTTACAAAAATATTTCGGAAGAACTCTCAACAAAATTGAATCAGCTGCTTGCTACATTAGGAATTCACTATGTTGTAAAGTATTACAGATAATCTGTGCCGCCCAATTTGCAATCTTGCTTTCAGTTTTCAACTACAATAATCTAACATACTAAGTTTTGCGGCGACCGAGCAGAACACTGATTTCTTAGACTATAATTCTTGTTTCCTTGGTCGATATTGCTAACAAATAGCTCTAATAGTTCACATTTACACGCGTTGTGTATTTGATACTGTCATTCTCTTTTTCATGAACTTACAATAATTAGCTGATAAAATACATCTATGACAAATTGTTTTAGGCTCCAACACAACACTAACGGGCAATATTTTTTCATCTATTCCAGAAGGCTTTGAGCACTACACGTACTGATATAACTAATAAGCGCACCTGACTCTAACAGTGAATATATACATAAATTGAATCAGAAATGAAAGTTTTTCTAGAGATAGTTATAATCAATCAAAGGTCCCAAAGCATCTTCAGTGACTGAAGAAAAATATATCTGCGAAATACCATGAGACTTCATGTCTTATGGAACTCGAGAATAAAAAAGTTAGCTTTCTTCATGACACAATACGGCTCCAACACGTCCGGGGTGAGATTCTCTCCACGTTCTTATCCTTCAGTATTAACTAAACAGTACAAAACTCCTATTAACTACTACAAGGTCTTTTTCTCCTATCTAGTTTTTCGCTCAAATCTACATTATCACGACCGTCATTGTTATTGAAAACTAAAGTCTCTCACGAATTTTTCAACAATTTTTCGACTTGTCACAGGAAATTTCAATGCACCAGCTTTCCCATACATGACTATACTATTCTCTGTGACCACAATTGCATTATCTTCCATAAGCATGTAGAAAAACAAATCAGAAAATAAAACGAAGTCTTCGAATTCCACAAACACTTGTAGCAACTTCTTAGATGCATCCAACCTTCCCTCAGCCTCAGCCTCATCCTTCATACATTCATTCCTCATCACAATCTCTTGCTGTGATTCTCTTCTTTGCGACAAGACCATACTCAACAGTTTATCTAAGGCTTTCTCCGCCTCTTTCCCGATATCATACTTTCTCTCTTCAAGTGTAATGATTAATCGATGAATCACTTCACCTGTTGCTGCTTTTTCACCCATCTTACCCAGAGCTTCACATGCACTTCGCCTGACACTATCATTGCTGTCTTCAAGTACACTAATTAATCGATGAATCACTTCACTTGTTGCTGCTTTTTCGCCCATCTTACCCAGAGCTTCACATGCACTTCGCCTGACATCATCATTGCTGTCTTCAACCATACTAATTAGTCGATTAATGACCTCACTTGTTGCTGCTTTATCACCCATCTTACCCAGAGCTTCACATGCACTTCGCCTGACATTATCATTGCTGTCTTCAACGATACTAATTAGTCGATTAATGACGTCACTTGTTGCTGCCTTTTCAACAATCATACCCAAACCTGTACAAGCACTAATCCTCACATCCTGGTTGCTGTCATGAAGTGCAAAAATAAGCCCGTTAATGGCCTCCACTATTCCACACCATTTGTCTGTCATACAGAAAGCCTTACACGCCCTCAACCTGACAATATCATTACCGTCCCCCAATGCAGTAATTAGTCGATTAATCACCTGACTCGGTTCTACCTTCTCACCCATATTAATCAGAGCGCAACGTGCACTACTGCTCACTTTATCGTTGCCGTCTAGAAGTCCACTTATGAGTCTACTAATGACCTCACTTGTTGCTACAGTATCACCCATACCACCAAGGGCTTCGCATGCACTCCATCTGATAGCATAATTGCTGTCCCCAAGTGCAACAATTAATTGATTAATGGCCTCACTTATTGCTGCCTTTTCACCCATCCTACCAAGAGCTAGGCATGCCCTTTGCCTGACATCGTCATTGCTATCCCGAACTCTATTAATTAGTCGATTAATGACCTTATTTACTGCTACCTCTTTACCCATGTTACCAAGAGCTTCGCATGCATTTAGCCTGACATCATTATTGCTGTCATCAAGTCTAACAATTAGTCGATTGATGACCTCATTTGTTGCTGCCTTTTCACCCATCATACCAAGAGCTTCACGTGCTCTCATTGAAACACGCGAATTCCAATGTCCAAGTGCACTAATTAGTCGATCAATAACCTCAGTTGTAGCTGCTCTTTCACCCATCTTACCAACAGCTTCACATGCTTTCTCCGTGACACCGAAATCCCTGTCCTGAAGTGCAATAATTAGTCCATTTATGGTCTCATTTGTTACTGCCTTCTCACCCATCTTACCAAGAGCTTCACACGCCCTCTTACGCACACCCATTTGGCTGTCTCCAAGTGCACTAATTAGTAGATCAATAACCTCAGTTGTTGCTGCCTTCTCACCCATGTTGCCCAGAGCTCTAATTGCTTGTCGTCTGATATCATAATTGCTGTCTCGAGGTACTCTAATGAGTTCATTGATGATCCCAATTGTTGCTACCTTTTCACCCATCTTATCGAGAACTTTACTTGCTTTCCGTCTGATATCATAATTGCTGTCTCTAAGTACTCTAATGAGCTCACGGATGACCCCACTTGTTGCTACCTTTTCACCCATCTTACCAAGAGCTTCACACGCTTTCCACCTGACAGCGGGATCGCTGTCCTGAAGTGTAATAATTAGTCCATTTATGCCCTCATTTGTTGCTGCCTTTTCACCCATTTCACCAAGGACTTGGCAAGCGGTCCACCTGATACGCTTTTCGCTGTCTTTAAGTGCAATAATTAGTCCATTAATGACCTCACATGTTGCTACCTTCTCACCCATCTTATCAAGTGCTTCAGATGCAGTGAATCTGACACCCGAATCCGTGTCCCCAAGTGCAATAATTAGCCCATTTATGGCCTCATTTGTTGCTGCCTTTTCACCCATTTCACCAAGGACTTGACAAGCGATGCACCTGATACACTCTTCGCTGTCCTTAAGTGCATTAATTAGTCCATTAATAACCTCACTTGTTGCTGCCTTCTCGCCCATTTTACCAAGTGCTTCAGATGCAGTGAATCTGACACCCCAAGCCGTGTCCCCAAGCGCATTAATTAGTCCATTAATGACTTCACTTGTTGCTGCCTTCTCACCCATCTTACGAAGTGCTTCAGATGCAGTGAATCTGACATTGGCATCGGTGTCTCCGAGTGCAATAATGAGCTTATTAAGGACCTCACTTGTTGCTGCCTTCTCACCCATCTTACCAAGTGCTTCGGATGCACTGCATCTGACATTGACATCGGTGTCTCCGAGTGCAATAATGAGCTTATTAAGGACCTCACTTGTTGCTGCCTTCTCACCCATCTTACCAAGTGCGTCGGATGCAGCAAATGTGACACACAAAATCCTGTCTCCAAGTGCATTGATTAGAGCATTAATGACCTCACTGGTTGCTGCCTTCTCACCCATCTTACCAAGTGCTTTGGATGCACTGTATCTGACATTGACATCGGCGTCTTCAAGTGCAATAATGAGCTTATCAAGGACCTCTGTTGTTGCTGCCTTCTCACGCATCTCACCAAGAGCTTTACATGCGCTTTTCCTGACATCACAATTGTTGTTTCCAAGTGCAGTTATCAATCCATGAAGGACCTTACTCGTTGCTGCTTTTTCACCCATCTTACCAAAAGCTTCAGATGCCAAGCACCTGACATTATCATCAGTGTCTCCAAGTGCAGCAATTAGTCCGTTAATGGCGTCACTTGTTGCTGCTTTTTCACCCATGTTACCAAGAGCTTCACATGCACTTCTCCTGACCTCACGGTTGCTGTTTCCAAGTGCGGTTATCAATGCATGAAGGACGTTACGCGTTGCTGTTTTTTCACCAATCTTACCAATGTTGTCAGATGCCTCGCACCTGACATCTGAACTGCTGTGGCAAAGTGTCGCAACTAGGCCGTTAATGACATCACTTGTTGCTGCCTTTTCACGTATTGCAGCCGGACGCCAAGACGTATTGTAGGGGACCCAATAGTTGGTGTCTGGAAGTGCATTAAGGAGTATGTCGATGATCTCGTTTGTTGCCGCCTTTTCGCACATCATTGTGAGAGCTTTACATGCAGCTTCCCTGATATCATTGTTAGCGTCATGAAGCCCACAAATGAGTGCATTGATGACGGCAGATGTCGCTGGTGTTTTATCACTCTGACCGAGAGCTTCACATGCCCTCTGCGTGACATCATCATTGGAGTCTGCCAGTTCACTTCTTATTTGATAAATCAACTCAGTCTTACTTGCAATGTGGCTCACACCACCGCTCTCTTGAATTTCCTGGGATATTACGGGATCATTGCTTTCTCGAAGTGCGATAATTAGTTGATGACTTATGATAGTTGTTTCTACTTTGTCTTTGATGTTACTGAGGGCTATGGCAACATTGTGGGGACTATGACAAATTTCTCTTGAAATTAGGTTGGCGAGTGAGGAGAGAATGTTGGGATGAGGATTTGTGATGTGTAGATGGTCGAGTAATGAAAGGATGCTGCGTGTAGTTTCGGGATCGTCGTTTCGTAGTAAGCGACTGAGAAAGTTTTGTATCTGAGGTTCGTTGGGTAGTGATGTGCATGTCTGCAGGGTGAGAAGAAAGTTCTGCTGTAGAGTATGGTTTTTTTTGGATGAAATATATTTGATCCAACGCATGATGAATGTGATTACCTCATCTCGGTTGTGTATAAGATAAGTACAATTAGCTTCGTCAATACATGAAGTGAGAAGTAGTAGATGGCGAAAGCCAATTAGATCACGTGGTTCTCCGAGAATAGTATTCCAGAATTTATTAATCAACTCTTCGTCATTAGTTTGAAATAGGAGTCCTGATAGAAAAGTAAATACCAAGGAGAATCGCTTGTCGTATTTATGGGTGTTGATAAAGCCGACAACTTTTTCAGTTGGCCAAATGGTGAGAGCATGAAGAAGATATCGTGCAGCGAAATGTTCTTGAAAGCTGAGATGAACAAAATAGTGTTGTTTTTCTACTTCAATCTGGTTGCCTAGAGATCCATGATTGAGTGACTTCAAAAAACCAATATTGAGCAGATGGGGATGGATTTTAAGCGATGAGTTTGTATCTTTCATAACTTTTTGTAGCAGTTCCTTGCCAATTATTATTGAATTTTTTGCCATGGCTTCGAACGCCAATGCTTCGAGGAAAGTAAGCTCGTGTTTACATTCTACATACACTTCTTCCTTAGTCAGTTGATTCGAACTGATTTGGCGCTCTAAGTATCGTCGACATAACCATTCAATGATTTTATCGTATAGTATCGTGATTGTCAGAGTTTCGTTTTCTGACCAAACGGTGTCATTCCAAACACTACAGATAAGTTCCAAGTTTACTGGAATATGTGCAATACCCCAAACTCGTGGGTTCACTTTCAGAAAGTGGAGGCATTTTTCATATTCCAAGGATATATTGGTGACATTTTGTTGAATTTGTTCAAAGAAGTGCTTCACATATGTCGAAATATTCGTGTCTGTAAAGCCTGTAATTTCCATTTGCACAGGATATGATAGAGTATTGAAGTACGGACGTGATGTCATGATGTGATGAGGAGTGTTGAGTAGTTGCTTGAATAAATGCTGTAGATGTTGTGGTACATTCTGGACTATTTCATCATAACCGTCCAAAAGCCACAAGACTTTTTCCTTATTCAGTTGCTTTCTTAAAAGTTCCTTGTCGTTCATAGAGAGATCATTTGAGAAATATTCTGTGTTTAAGAGATCCACTAATGAATAATTTTGTCCGGAAGCTAGCATAGAATAACGAGTCTCTAACAATGAACGTAAGGAGAAAAGAACAACCAAGTCATATTCTGTCCAAAGAGCACCTGTTGTCCATTGATGAGCAGCATATCGACAAAATGTGCTCTTACCGATACCCGCTCTACCAAGTACAAGTATTTTTCTTAACTGGTCCTTGCATGTTTCAAAAATATCTTTGATATTTTTTGGCGTTTTAGTGTCATAGATCTGTTCATAGGTATCGATGACTGTTTGACTGTGATTAGTATCGCGAAGCTTTTTCTCTTTTTCTTTTTGTTCTTTGGTTTCCACGATGGACAAGCTAATATAGCTTTCTTCGATTGGAAACGATTTGGCTGGATTGATCAAACGCTCAATACGGCTATTTCTTTTGTATTGATGCTTAATTATCTCAAAGAGATAGGTTGGTTCATCGATTGGTTTCAATGGTTGATAGTGTGATATGGACGGTTGTTCTCTTATTCGAGCAAGTAGTTCTGTCGTTTTCGTGCGAATGTTGGTTTCAGAGTTATTATAAAAATCTATATGCTCAAGTCCTTTAGTTATCAGTTCCAACCAGCCAGAAGGTTTCCACACCTTTGCATCACTCAGTATACATGGAATGATTCTTTTGTTCCGCTTTCGTGCATATTGCAATTCGAGTTTACAGTTCTCAGATTTTTCATAATCTGGCGTGATGAAGCAACAGATAACTGCGGCATTTTCTACACCTTTGGCAAGGCTACACAAAAGAATAGCTCATGTACATTATAGCAAAAAAGAATAATCACTTTCATAGACATACCTTGCATACATATCTTCCTTCATATCAGCGTTTCCGTCGAACCAAACTGAAATATTTTCTTTTCTAAGAATTTCGTCAATTTTTGACACAATATTTCGACTATTCCAATTATAAGACAACATGACATGCTTCCCTGAGGGAATCGGAGAACTAAAAGATGTGCATTAGATATTAATTAATATCAAGAGGAGAAGACGAATGGGAACTGAAAAAAGCCACTTTTGTGGATAAAACGTCGCATATAAAATTCACCTTGTGTAAAACTGAATTAAAAAACGGTAAAAAGTCTGTGCGTTCATAAAGTCGCATCGAACTCGTGTAAAACACATGTTCAATACTTTCTCGTTCATTAGCGGCTTATTCGTGAATAGAAATAACTTTGGCGTAGAGCTACAGTCTTGCTTTTACGTATCTATCAAAATAATACAGAAAATCGACAATAATCAGTGTTGTTGAGCGTTGACTATGATCTTTTTGCATGCTTGGAAAAGCGATTTTTCCGGCTTTCCGACTAATACATGTGCATGTAAATATCGCAATGTTTTGAATTGATCAAGATCGAATATGGTTAAAAAAAATCGCATATTTCCACTATTGTAAGATACCATCTAGTTCTAAGTAACATCTAAACGCGAACGTTATTCCAATCACACTTGCATCCTCAGATGAATGCATGAGATTTCTTATTTTCAAGAAAAAAATCTTAAGATCAAGCAATCATCTGGGCTGCGAAAAATTAAAAATATTTTATGATTTTTTTCATATAACAGTCTTGACGATTGATGTCAGACTTTTGATGATGTGTCTTTAACGTTTTCTACGTTCTTTGACTACTTTTTTTTGCATAAGTACTATATTAAAATATCGCTAGCCAGATATGTATTGTAATGAAATGTATAAAGCAGTTATGTTTTACGCTACAAACTCTGCTTTCAGTCAGCTTTCTTTTGTGACTATGACGTTTTAAAATATATAATCCTAACATTCTTTTTTTGTAAGGACTAAGTACTTTTGAAAATTATTTTCAATAAGAAACGAATAGGTCAATATAAACTACTACTTTTCAACAGAGCGTGTACTTCAAGAATTGATCGCAGTAAACTCTGATAGCATTACAGTGAGAAATTTGAAAGAGTTTCTTGGCTCTTTTTTTGCAACTACATAGTCATTTTTGTGGCATTTTTAATAGTTGACACGGTAACATTTTTCTGTTAACTCATGAAGCCAAAAAATGAACAGCAATAGTATCCTACTCAATTTATGATGGATTAACGTTCCTTGCTCTAAACAGAGAAGTATCATTGCTGTCATTGCCTCATCACTTTCTATTCATTTTCTGTGCAGTTAAATTTAGAGCTCCTCAGTGAATAAATTTGTTGGCGGTGGGAGAAAAGAGTACTGTAAGAG